TTATTTACTTATCTATACTATGATTATTTTGTTATCCGTTTTTTTAAAGAGGGAATACTTTTCAGTATCTTCTTACGCCCTGGTTGGGATGAGAGAGAGTCAGACTCTTACTGAATAAAACCCACCCCGTTCTTGCCCAAGCCGCGGTACATCATCGAGTTTGCATCCGAAACCTCAAAAATTTGCTTAACCCCTTTACCGAGACCTAGATCTAAGTAAACTTTTTCAAGATATTTTTTTTTTACTTTTCTCAACGTACAAAAATTTTCTTTACTGCTACGAATAATTCAAGACTAATATTAGCCAAATAAGTGAAGGCATTGTTGAGTTATAAAATTACAACGAAAAGTAGCATTGATTTTTATATACATATATATGTAGATTTACTGTCAGACAAACGCTTTGTCTATACATAATATTTCCTTTAACTTTTTTATAGTCTAACATATAATAGCTAGGTATAACCACAATGCGAGCAGAATTTATAATAAGGCGCAAGAATTCTCACTAACTCACGATCTCGTTAAGTCGGGGTCAGCTGTAAGTGAATTGGGCGCCGTCATTCGGAGATATCTTCTCTTCCTCGAGTTTCGATGTCAAGTGGTATTAGTCTTCGCAATAATCACGATGCTTTGCTTCTAAATAATTTAGAAAATGGTACAAAAACATTAGTTTTATTCAATGATGTGTAAAAATGATATACTTATAGTCTGAACAATTACATCGAATGCAGATATAAAAACTGAGTTATTGCAAAGATAGTTATTATTGTTATATGATTAAGGGCTGATTTTTCAATAGTCAGATAATTAATGTTATCTGAGTAATAAAATTGTTGCTGTCACTGTTTTATACAAACATAATGGTTTTTACAAACAATTGGTTTATTAAAGAATGGTTAGTTTTTCTATACAGAATTATTCTTGCAAAGTCTTAAGACTTTGCATGCAGGGAAATCACTACTAGATTACACATATTGATTTATGATAACATAAAATGTGAGAAATTATTTTAATATTTTTCCTTAGACACTCGGCTCACTTTTTGAATGGAAAAAGTATGTAGTGCTATTTTCAACATCTGAGTTAAGTCCTATAGGTAGAGAACTAAATCAAGTAATAAAAAATAACCCGTGGCTTACTCGATAATCAATTCTTTGCATTCCATTTCACTACAGTACATCACATCTAAAAAGATTTTACTGACAGTAAATGTGACTATGGGTTCGGGCAACCAATTTCAATGGAAAAAACTCTCTGTCCACAAATTGTTGATTCGAGACTAGATGTGTTCTGTTTTTAAAATTGTATGTTTGTAAACTCACCTACTGAATTGAGGTAAACTCCTAGTGTGGGTTAACGGTTGATATATTGTATATTATAATCGTAGAATCAATATATAGAATATATAAAAAATACTTATCTATGAGACTTTGAAGAAAAAAAAGGGACTTAGCTTAGTGTTTTCAAGGAAAAGAAATTACCTACCTACCTTTCAATATTGTTGGTAAGAGTTTAAGAAGAATTACAATGGTGAGCCGAGAAAATCTTTAACATTTCTAAAACCATGATATTATATTACTGACACCTTCCTTAACCATTTCAGGTGAAGGTAAACTAAGTTCTACAAAAGAAAAAATAAAATAAGTATAACGAATTAACTTACCACCAGCTTGCTAGTTGGATACCTATTCTAAAAAACGAAACTTATAAATCCAATAACTTAATAGAGGTTCTTGAAACGAAATAAAAAAAAAACTCACCCTCGCTTTCATTCAAGAATTCTTGACGAAGGTCGTCACAGTTGAAATGCGGGTAGATTAAAAAGGGCTTCTAAAAGTGTCTGTAACGACCTAATTACTGAATAAAAAATTACTTTGACTTCCAGCCAAAAGCTGAAGCTATTGTTTTGGGCATGGAGAGCCTAAACTCGGTGTCTTTTTTCAATCTTTTCCGTGATAAGAACAATGGAAGATAATATTTCACAGAAAATATGATTTAAGCATGTTCGTCATAAAAAAGTCATTCTTCGTATCTGAATTCTGATTTAAAAATAATTTTGTTCGTAGGTGTACCTATGTTAACATTACAATGTGCGGGTCCATATCTTTCCGGGTATCGTAAAAGTGGATTGAAGCAAAGGTCCCCTTTGATGTTTTAGGAAAGACAACGACATCGTAATATGGGCTTATTTTAGCTGTAAAAATAATCTTTTTGTTAATAATGTTTTAATAGCTTTTTAGTGACTTGGTTAAGTTAATGCCTATTTACATTTTATTGCATTAGGTAAATTGAGAACGAAGTCCATTTGTGGTTTTCGTATTGCCATTAAAAAGGTTTATGTATATAATTTTTACTTCGCAAGTATAAAAAATATTTCATTTAATTTAGAGGATCAACTTTTGTTTTGTTCTTTTCGTTATCACATCTACCGTGACTTGTCTCTATTATAGACTATAGACGTAGACTGAAAAAAAAATATTTAAGCACTAAGTCCACCATTGTACTATTGTGTGCAAAAGGCATTAATTGAATTAAAAAACGAATAATAGTCCATTACAGCAAATAATTTTAAATTGCATTATTTTGTTTCTTAATCTTGTAATTTTCTCACTTAGAATGTTCCAAGATCTCGACCAAGAAAGAATAATAATCTGAACCGGAAAGGTTTCCGGTATTGCAGCCGAATGATCAAATCCGGATAAGCATCAGTACATTTAAAGCGAATTACTATACGATAGCGATAGAATCCGGACAATGACATTTCAAGTAATATGTCGTTAATAGAAACATCAAAGGTTGACGTCTTTTACACTTTATAGTCAGGTAAATAATTGATTTTCTACATGGTCGATCCTCTTTCTCATTTTCTAACTGAAAGGTAAAGCTAATACCGTCCCCTTCGTTCCTTTGTACATAGCATGAATCTCAGGATAATGCATTTCATGATGTGCGTCTTTTGAAAAGGTTCATACAAATCGAGTGTTTTTGCTGATAAAACGACGTGTCCAAAGGTTTAGGTTACATTTTTTTTCTTCTAAGAACTATTTTGCTCTCTGAATAGAAATACCGATGTCACATAGAATGTGAGATTCTATAAAAAAGCTGGATAAGGAATGAATAAAGTTTGTGTAGATTTATTTTGTTTCACGCTACAAAAGACAAAATCTGTAAGGTATTTGGAAAGACAGTCTATACTTTTAGGTGCGGTTTCACTCGCTGCTTGGCTCCATTTGATCGTTGTGTGATGTTTTATAGCCTACTATAGCACTCAGGAACATTGTAGATATCAGTGAAAGAATTTAGGCAATCCGATCAGCGGTTCTAAAGATTACCCCCTACATACAAACTTAAAAAAATTACCTCTTTATAATATTAGTATAGATAAACAAAATTTTTAATTTTAATATTAAATAAAATTATTGTTGATCCTTATATAAAAACAACCGGAATGCATTTACTCACCAAAAATAATTTTATATAAAATTTATTTCGTTTTCTACGAGCCTCAAACGTTTTAATCTGTACAAAAAAAAACTTCACAATCGTAGGTTTTTACCTACTTAAATTATATTGTTTGCATAGAACACGTAGGAAAATACATTGCGTCTAGATTATTGTTCCTTCATACGTATTATGTTTATGAATTTTTGACGTGAAATAAATACAAACTGGCAAATCCTTCCCCTGCACACAGTAGTCGGTTGTAACATTTTACTCAACTTTGACGAATGCTTTGCTGTTTTATGAACTAAGCTGTATTATGTGGACTGGTCAAAATAAATTAAAATTATTTAAATATTTTAGTATAATATTAAGTTTATTTTATAGTTTACAGTCATTTAACATAGTCTTTCTTTTGTTTACAGATGAGAGATTTGTGTATTATTAACAAAAATGTGCAACAACATATAAAATATCTTATAGATAAATCGCTATTTGGCTTCGCCTCACTTTTATCACTATATTTATATTACAAACAAGAAAAGTATCTATTCCTTATTATAAGAATCCAATAGCATTAACTGTACATTTTGTATTAAAATACATATTACATATAATGTTTTTAATCTACAAATTAATTACACAGATCATCATCTTGTATGCAGAAATTTTGTTATTCGCAATAAAATTTATTATGTACAATCTACATCGTATTATACGTTCATTAAACTAATTATTTTGTCTTAAAAATAAATTACACTTTGTGTGTTAACATTGAGTTGAAAATAATTTTAACAAAATTGTAAATTGTAAAATAATTATTTACATAATTTTAAAATTACATTTTCACGGCTTGTATTCCGTGATATCACTCATAGCATACTTAAAAAAATGATATAAAATAATTTTACGAGCATTTTATGCATCGTCGTGAATTACGCGATGTCATTTGTAAATTAACGGAATTTATACAAAGCCACGTTTTTAAGTCTTAAAAAAAATTTTACGCCTCGACAAATCTTTCTCCTATTGGAATTTATATTACAACAGATTTAGAAGTTTTTTTTTCGCTAGGCTAATTTATATGCATGGTATATTAATTTTAGTTTATCCTAAGTCATGGTCGATTGTGCCATAATATAAATACAAAAGTTTTCATGACACAATAAAAATATTTTTACATAACTTCACATTCCTTTGTATTTTTTACAAGGTTAAGACTTCGATAAACTTGAGAATGCATACTGTGAATTTGATATTCCGTGGATATAAGAGTATATATCACCTTAATTCATAATGAATTTTAAATTATCTAAATACTCAAATCTGGTTCTACTCCTAGCGAAATCTGGCTAGATTGTAATTTGTAAACGTTTGGATTATTACAGTGATATAATTATTCATAAAAATATTCGCGTTTAACAATTAGAACAAAACAATGTTCTCAGCGTACATCGCATTAAACAGAATTGCTACATTCGCTCATTGTAGCAACAACAAATCTGTTTCTTCTTGCATAACATATTTCAATACCAGAACTTGAAAGTTCTTACATAATCACGGGTAAAATAATAAAAGTGTTGTGCATGAGACAAAGGCCAAAATTTGGGGTTGCCAGAAAAGTGTTCCTTTGTTCCCTGTGTTGTGTTGTACAGCGGCTTGATTCTCCCCTGATGAACAGAATGAAATTGTTAAAGTTTCTCAAAAGTTTTCAATGTGTCTTATCAAATTACACAAGTATTACACTATGAAACTATTTACTAGATACTTGTCTGAAGATTATAAACTTGTTTAATTTGTAACATCACTCGAAGCCATCTTGATTCTTAGTAAAATTGTTTTGATTTCTGTCTAAACTATTAAATATGCATTCTGGTCAAAACTTAATATGTCAATAATAATAAATAATATTTTCTTAAAAGATTAAATATAAAATTGTGTAAGATACAAAAAGAAGCTTACCAATCAAAACGTGAACATTTATCGTGACTTGCGAATGGTTCTGCAGGTGACATGTATACGTCCCACTGTCATTCTGTGATGCTGAACTTACACTGATAGTAGCACTGCAAAGAACATCGAATAATGAAACTAATCTCTTGTTATTTGATTACTTTGAACTTTATTTACATGCAATAAGATCTAGTACTCACCTCATATTCCGCCAAGTGACGTTATCAGTAAAATCCTTTCCTTGTTTCTTCCAAAAAATTCCATAAATATTATTTTCTATAGGAGGTGTTGTAGGTTTCATAGTAGTCAGTTCAGTCGTGGTCTTCTCTGGTGCTTTCTTAGTTGTAGTACTTACGCTAACAGTTGAAGTAATCGTCGTCGTCTCGACACTCCAGCTTTTATTCATCATTAAATCTATTCTATTGAATATTGTACTCATTTTTGTAGTTAATTCTGTTGTAGTAGTTGTAGGTAAGGGTGTAGTTGTTGGTACAGGCGTCGTTACTGGGGTCTTAGTAGGTATAGATGACACATATTGTTCTGATATGATACAAGATAATTTGATAGCGCTACCCGCTTTATAAAATCTGTCTTTCACATCATGTGTTTCATCACCATTTATGGAGATTACGGGAGCTGTAAGAAGAACAAATTTTTAATTTATGCTGACGGCCTTTTTTCCGCACATATACAAGTTTATGACCTAAAGAAATTACAATTTTGATAACATTTTTTTTCTTTTCTATATAATTTCTAAGTCCGTGACGGACTTGGAATGCATGAATTATTTCCTCCAAGGAGACTGAAAATATAATTACGCTCCGGTTATTTTCCAGGAAAAGTACAAACAGGACTTCAAGGGTCTAATAAAAAGTTTACTACTTTTTTAAGACCTCATCGTTCCATTTCGTTTGACAAAAAAAAGGAATGTCGACAGAAGGTGAGCTGATAAATCACAATAAGTACTTTAATTTGTGTAAATTCACATAAATAGTTATAGAATGGCGTCATTAAGTGCTGTGCCTGCTATGCAAATGGAGATTAAGGATATTTTCGAGAATTTTTCCCGAGCTTACCTTAACGGTAATATCAAAAGCGATTAAGACGAAATGAAATGGCGTGCCAAAAACAGAGGCAGAGAAAAGGTGATGTAAGGAATAAAAGAGATCTTCTCAATCCCTCAAATACACACAATGGGACGGCTTAATTAAACGTTTCTACCAAAAATAAAGAAAATATATTAATGAACAAATTGTTTGTTTGTTTACTTACGTAAAACTGTGAGGTTTGTGAATATCGTTCTTGGGGGATGTGTGGATATTTGGCACATATAGTGACCAGCGTCAGTTAGTTTCACTGGATTCATACTAAGTCTCCAGTTGTTTGGGTATTGGAACTTTACTGCTATCCTATTGTCGCCGGCGTATAAAGCTGGACCAACGGTGAGGAGTTGTGCTGACTCCGTTGTGTTTCTCAACCACATCACCTGTATCGAAAGGAGAATTATATTGTTTGACTATTTATCATCTTGTTTGATAACCCTTATGATTATAGTATAATTGATATTGACTTAATTTTTCTGTTATCTAAATATGTATTGTAGTAGACACATTCGGAGTGCCTACTGCAAGTTTGCTTTATATTATTGGGATCGACACGTTTATGACGTTCGGCGCCCTGATTGGCCAAAATTGGTTTAAATCTTACTTCAGTGTGGGTAAGAGAAAGAGCTATACAAGTGGTCTAGCTCTGTCTCTAAGTTAACCAACCAATGAGAGACCTAGTCGTGCTCACTCCTAAATCGCGTTAACGCGAAGAAATTAACTTTCACTAGGCGTTCGATATTTATACGTATTTGTATTTTTTAGCTATATAAGAAGGGTAAAATCTTTAATAAAATGAAATTGTATACAAATTTACTTTATCTCGATATATTTCAATAATAGATTTTGAGGTTATCGTTTTGATAGGTCAAATACGAAAAAGAAAGAAATAATTAACATGGCTGGTTTTTGCTTTTAAACATTATGTATTCGTCAGACAAAGGCACAACCTTGTATAAATTATAGATATCTTACAGTTTTTGATTCACGATTCATTAAAGAAGTTAATTCCAAGATTGAAATAATTATAACGATTAAAACTAGAATTTCTTTTTCTGTTTGAAATAAATGAAAGCGAAACTCTAAGGAGGTACTTTCTCTTAGAAATGAGGATAATCATTTACTTTAAAGTCTTGAATGATGGGAGGGCTTTGACCGGATTGGAAAGATCTTTATTCGATAATATTTTAACAACCTTTTTTTTCAGAATATTTTAAATCTTTTTTTAATATTGCAGAAACAATTTCAAAATACCTATAAATAAATAAAAATAATAAAATCACTTTGTTTACTTAGAACTATAGTTTGTACTAAACAAATTAAAGTTATTAAAATAATGATGCGTCAAAGATATTAGTCCAATTTTCATACGAAATATTTTAATGCTCATTCGCTAAGACAATTCGCGAAAAGATCAGCTTTCCGCATCAATAAAATGAAATTGATATAATTCTAGGAAGAGTGTCGTATCATTTCAATGTAACAAGAATTATGTTAATAATTTCACCTAAAATGTTCATCTCAAATACATAAAATATAAACCGTTTTATATTCATAAAGATAAAACTTTTTTTTTGTATCTTCAAAAACAAAGATGTTGTACTAAGAAAAGCGTTTCTGATGTTGAAAGCCCCGATATATTACTTATTATCAAATAACGCACGTAAGTAATTTTTGATTCAATTACAGCTACATTCGAGTTGATATTGAAGCAGCTTTTTATTTCGATGTCTTGTAAATATGTTTATAATTTATTTCATAATACTGTTCATAATAACATCATTATAATTATAAGTACAAAACACTAGTCAGTGAAACATGACGCCGATACCTCATGTGCACTAGTTTTGTAGTTTAAATTATGTAATATATATCTATAGTATTTTTAAGTTTACCATTGCTTATATAATATTTTATATGGCTATAAAGGCCTTCGACGCATGAAATAAATGGATAAATAAATTTAAAATAAGTGCATCTCATGCGATATTTCAAAAGTTTTAAAAGCATTATTGTTAATATTCTCGAAATTAACAAACCAGTTTAACTCGATCAATATTATAATCCCAATCATTATCTTATTACAGAAAATATAATCGAAATTTAAACATAAAAGATTTTAGTGCTGAGTCACCAATTCCTGGCACACTAGTCGCGCTTGACGATTTCGTGAAACCTTATCCAACTATTGATCTGTTTGGTAATGGATGAAAGGATTTTTTTTTGGAATGCATGTTTTGCTTTTTGCTTTTTTGTTGCTATTTGATCAAATCAATTGGATCAAATCTATATGAACAAAAATAATAATTAAATAAATTACCGTTTTGTCCTTGAGCATGACGACTCTACAATTCAACAAGGCCTCTGCCCCAACATGGGCCGTCACTTGGGTGTACTTCTCCTCCTCGAAGTACGGGCCCCAGTGGTGTTCATGATGGTGATCGTGGTAACTCTGGTATGGCACATAGGAGCGAGACTCTTCTACCTTGTCTGTCGATCAAATTTCATAAAATAGAAATATTATAAACAATAATAGGCACTTTAAAGTAAACACATATGTTATAAAGCTATCAAGTAATGTATAAAAATATGATTGATGTTTAAATTAAAGTTTTGCATGCATAAGCTGTAAGTAAAAAGCATTTGTAATGTGTATTAAAAGTATGCTTTAAAGAGAGCAATCTAATACTCAAAGGTAAATAAGACATCGAATAATTTAAGACTAAATTAAAATTGAGTTGTACTTGAGTATTAGATTATAATGATAATAATTATATTTAAAAAAAATAAGCTTCAGTAAATATTTACATTGATATTTGATTTGTGATTTAGTGCGCAAAACAGTGAATGTGGTGTATTAGAACAATTTATTTAGGTTAATAATTAAATTCAAAATTTGCCAACAACTAAACAAATAAGTACATTACAAATGTGACAATTGCAAATACAGTTTTCATTTATCAACTCGTACATATATATAAGCTAGTTAGGTAGGATTTAGGTTTCCAAAACAGTTTAGTGTAAATTTGTAAGTTGAAATAATTAAATATTCGTAGCCTGTCCTCGAACAATCCATTACAAGTTTTGTAGTAAATTTTTTATTGTCATTCAGGGAGTGATTTAATAAGAAATGCAAATTACTTTGACAACGATCGTGGTAGCCTTTATTACTATAGGGATGTAGATAACAAATGAAGACTATATATTTTTTTAATTTACTAATCAAATAAATAACGGTGAAACTTATTCTACAACTCTAATGACTTTCATTTAAAAAAGGAACCCGTGGTATAAATATAGTTCGAATCATATAGTTTCATATATGATTAATTATTATGCGCCTCTTTCATGGTAACTGGAAAACTCCACTATATAAGACAGGAAGGCCATACGAAAATCCTTTGGGAAAAATAAATATACGTCGAAAAAGGTGCGCTATTCCCAACTTTGCATATTACATTTCAATAATATATTAAACTATAAATACATTAAAGCGAAATTTACAAGTAACTTTAATTAAAATCCTTATTCGAGAATTTAAATTAAATGAAACAAAATTAGTTAAGAAAAAGTAATTTTCCTAATCTCATCTTAATCAGGAAGTAACGCTATTTGAATTTCAATCCCGATAAGATTGTAGTCAACGACGGCGTCCGTCGTACAAGAAATTGTTTAAAATCTGATAATGTTCAAACAGCTTAAATCTCTTGAATGGTTAGCATAAGCGAATTCATATTTCTTTATGTAAACGAGACCACGGACGTCCAAGACGAACTGTAGACGAGAAAATCAATACTCACTCTGTAACAAATGATCGTTTCTGTCAGTCGCTCCTTCACGCTTGATATTTTCGCGTAGTTGCTTCGTGATATTTTTGAATATCTCCCTGGACAAGGCGAGATTGTCCTTCTCATCGCTTCGTCGTCTTCGAACAACATTCGTTCGATAATCTTCAGGAAAGCGCAACGGTTCTGCACAGATCAATTTTCTTGCTTTAATACTAACATTTTCTGTACTATTTTTATTCTTCTTTTGGATTTTTAGACTATTGCGGACTTTATATCTTTACGAATTTACATTAAATTCATTTGAGGTTTTGATTATTTAATTTGATAAGTTATTACCATTCTGTAGTTACAAAAAAATGTATTGTTTAGCGTTTAGACTTTACATGAAATAAACTATGTAGCCGGTAATAGATAAAAGTGTAAGTAATTTATTTTTAAAACTACAATTGTTTACTTTTTAAACAATACAGATAATTCCTAAGTTTTTCAAGACTTTATCTAAAGATCGAGAATTTTTACTCTAAGTTACATACTTTTCTGATTTGTTTTATTTCGAACAAAAAATTCAGTAAAGATTTTGTTATTCATAGTCTTTCAAAAGAATTTACAGGAGTTTTTATCAATTTTTTCCATAACCAAAACTTTGAACGTTATTCGATAGAAATTTGATCAACGAAGGCTTTTTTTATTATGTCTGTTACTATATTATGAGAAAGAGAGAAGGGCAGAGCTCCGTCATTAAAAGGATTAGCACTCCAGCGAGCCGGCGCTCACGTTGTTTTCCCTGTTGTATCTGTCATTTGTTCGTTCTAAAAACTGTATTGCTTTGCCTTCTATATATTCTTAGATTACTAAATAAACTGTAACTGATTACTAAAGTCCAAATTTCTTTATCGAATAGTCCTACCACTGCCAATACTTTAAGTATTCATAGGTAGCTAATTATATACAGCTGACTTATTAGAAAGTATGCGATGTTTATTGATAGTTTTATCATTTATTTGGTATGCATTTGTTTGGTTCCTATTCAGAGTGGAAGCAGAATAATATTTGCCCAGAACACCTATCTGACCTTCGTAAGCCATTAACAATGCGGCTCTATGCTTTTATCAAACGCCTGTCAAGCTGTTAGTACAAAAATAGGAAAGAATGTTTTTTTTCGGATTGCAGAAACAGGAAGAAACCACGTTAACTTTCCTAGTATTGTTTACTTTTGCGATTTTATTGTAGTTCATACATTTTGGGCTTTAGTTGATATTGCACTTGAATTATAATTTTTTGGGATTATGATTAATTTACGATATCTTTGTCGACGGCATATGATAGAAAGAATGAAACCATTCAATTTAATATGATTTATTACGTGCAGTATAATTAAAGGCCTCTTTTACAAGTGAAGGAATAGTCGCTGTCTACCAAATAAATTTTAACAAAATACGTACCTAATTTTACATAGTGCATAAGTTTATCATAAGCGTTTCTTCAAATTATCTTTATTTAATTTATTTAAAAAACGATTAGTCATGGCATTCCAACTTCGTATGTTGTTTATAAAATGATTGTGTTACAAATAATTAATTACCATAATTATATTTATTCAACAAACTTCAACTTTTAAACTTCGTTCGACCAGGTTTTGAATACCTGTGTGTTTAATTAAGAAGTTTTGCAAAGTTCATTATAAACTTCACATAACCAGTGAATATAAACATGTATAATAAATCTGAACTTTATGAATGCACTTCAAAAACCAATATTCAATGTCGTTTCTTAGAATTTATCTCAGAAAATATTATGTAGGTATTAAAGAATATTCTTGACCTAAAGTTTTAAAATTAGTTCATTAATTCTTTTCTAACATCTATAATGCGATTATCATAAATAATTTGAAATATTATGAATATTTAAAGTCTTAATGGTCAAGATGAGTTTCATAGAATCAGTGCTTACAATATTTAATTTATATTAAAACTTATTAGTGTTTTAGTACCATTAAAGATGGATTAAAAGATTTGAAAATATTTTCTAATTGAATTAAATTTCTTGACCTCGAGTAACAAAAATCGGTCGTCATTTACTCATGCCACTTAGTGCTGTACTAAGAAATATTTAATGATTGCTTAGACCATTCCTTAGTAACGGTTTTGTTCCGAAAACAATTGTTAAGTGATCACTTAATGATTCTAAGAACGACTATTAGATATTGCCACTAAGTGATAATACCGGTTTAGGGACTTCTTAGTAATATGAATACCATTGAAATTTAACGTTATACTAAAATATAACTTTTCGCATTCTAAGAAGATTAAAATTCCAATAATTCTACCAAACATACTTCCAACATATTTATTTTACTGAATTCTATAACTCACTTTTATTTTGAAGACGCAATTGCTTTAGTAAGACATTTAATTTCCGGACTAGAACTACATTTATTTCTGCTACCTTCTAAATATCTGTCCACGTATCTATTTAAAGAAATAGGTATGTCAAAGGGTGTGGTCAAATAATTTTGGAATGTTTCAAATATTCAAAAGCTCATACGGATATTGGTAACCTATGCTGGCCGCATCATAAAGTATTGATGCAAAACCTACGATACTGTTATGAATACAATAATTAAGGATTTGTGATAACAGTTATTCGTGATTGACTTTCCAACTTTTTTGTTAGGTTGTACACCACACCCATTAGACCACCAGAGAAGTGACGAGTTGCGTTGCCGGTCTTTTAGGGATTAAATTATTAGGATTTTAGGATTTAGATATTTTGAGAGCAGAGAGATTTGGTCTCCAGAAACCTCACTCAACCAACAAAAGATAAAGCTGATTGTTTCAAACCGGTTTTCTAGGAGATCGTGTTATCACTCTACGAACCGAGCCCGTTAAGAGAGTCTGCCGAGAGTTATTTTCAAACGATGCTTACTAATTAGTCTTTACTTGCGTTTACGTTTACCCGAACCCCATTATATATCTAAAAATATTTAGCTGAATAAATAATAGTCTGATTCTGAAGTGTCAATAAGAAATTCCTTCTGTAAAATTTTAATTTTGTTCTTTTAACGAACTCAAAGTCAAATATCAATTAAATTCAAATTCAAATAATTGAAGTTAAAAAAGAACCAAAGGGAAGTCCAACCGAGATTTTGGTATCACTCTCAGCGAGCAGTTGATCCTCATAAAATTTTAACATTTTGCCTTGACATTGGGAAACGGTCAGAAAAAAGAGAAATAAAGTGTTGTATTGTAAAGCTGATGTATATTGTAGTGTTGTTTGTCGGTAATACGAGTAGTGCAAGAACATGCTAGCTTGCATTCTAAAATTAAAATTTAATTTTTTATCCATTATTTATATTTTCTAAATTTTGCTTCAAGATGCAAAATGTATTTCATTTAATTAAGCTTTTATTTTATATTTTATTATTAAATGTTTGTGCTTTAGGCTTTTTCAAAGACGATCCATGCTATGCACTTAATGCTTTACTAAGTGTTTTTAATTTTGTACATTTTATTATTTTTATTTTATTTTATGTCATTTTTTTATAGTGAAAAGCATTTAGTGCTATCTAAGTAGACGAAGATAGTAGTTTGAGTTCGAAGGTACTTACCAGATGCAGTATGGATGCAGCATAACGCTAGAAACACGAAGTAGAGGCTGTCCCACTGCATATTAGAGACATCACAGGCGTAGGCGCATTACGCTCGCCGTTTACCTGAAAAAACACAAAGTTATTATTATACACTTAAATAGAACATTACAGAGACCACGTCTAGGCAAACGTAATGTAGGGCTCCATCCAGCTAGGTGGACTGACGATATCCGCAGGATGGCTGGCAGTGGTTGGAAGCAGCTGAACATCGAGCTCAGTGGTGTGCAATTGAGGAGGCCTATGTCCAGCAGTGGATGAAATCAGATGGTGATGAAATAGAAAATTTACGAGTATAAGTTTATCGCATCATGTCGTTATAATGTCCCTATAGCTTATTTTATTCATCGCACTATGATGTGCTAATTGAAGCCTTCCTTGTTTAATGCAAGGTTCAGTCTGTTATTGATTAATTTTTTTTTTAATTTTTTCCTGCCTTATTTTTGGTAAGTAAGTATATTGTTAAGTAAGTTAAGTATATTGTTATTCAATAACAATATACTTAATTGTTATTGAATACTAATAAATATTTTTTTCATTTAATATGCAGATCTAAAATCACATCTGACTCTGTACATTATATAGCTATTGTTACCCTAAATTTTAAGGTTACTTTAAGGTTTTACAATATGAGTATAGAACATATTTTGAAATTCGAATTACTGACGAGAATCGATCAATTTCTAACAGTGGGTTCACTAAACAATGTTAGCAATAGTGGATTACGCGCCAGTAAATTACCTATAATAAATTAGGTTAGATGTCTGTCGGTCCACGTGACATACTGATGCCAAACTAAATTGGGTTGACGCGCTGTACAGATCCCAAAAAGGATTTTTGTCAGTAAAATAGTAGGAGAAACATTATTTTACACACAGTTGCAAATTTCGTAACTGTAAAAATTTCGAGAGTCGAAAAACATTGTTAGTTAAAAATAAAGCTACTAAAACAGTTTTAGAGAGCTTAACACCCCTTAGTTACTCCGTTCTTTAAGTAGTCAATTTCAATATTTTATAGCAATAAATATTCCATAATATCTGTTTCTTAAACTAGCAGAGAATTGAAACGATACAGATTTGTAAGTTAGACGCTAGATCCCTATTCCAACTCTCCCATTCAATTTAAATGGACTTTTTGAAGACCTATTTAGTATCTTAATACGTACGTTACCCAAATGTGGTGAAGTTATTGGGTTTGCCACAATTTATTGGGCAGATTTCACGGTATTGCTCATGAGACTGAGGAAATCGGTTAGGAATGGCTTTGAATCGGTTTTCATTATACCTATCAGTGGTAGTTAGTGTCAAAGTGATTTCCAATTGAATCGTTCACATTACGAAGGAAATTCGACATTAGATTCGCGTTACGCTATCGAAAACATCTGAGAGAATTTAATGAAGGTTTTTAAAATAATTATTTGTCAAAGAGTTTTGCAGTTAACTACAGTAAACATTACTGAAAAATATCCCAGGTGGGTGAAAATCCAAACTAATATTATAAACGAGCAAGTAACTCTGTCAGTGTGCCTGTCTTTTCTTAACGCCTAAACTACTGAACGGATTTATGTGAAATTTGGTACAGACTGGTTTGGAACTCGAGAAAAGACATAGGATAGTTTTTACACCAAAAACCTGCAGAAAGTCACTATTCCACGCGAACGGAGTCGCTGGCAAAAGCTAATTTAATTATATATCAGATATTTTATAAAAAAAAAAACAGAAGAGAAGTTTCATTATTGTTTTTTAATGGAATATCCTTCATTATGTATCACCGGATAGTAAATGATCTGCGACGCCCAATAACATATGCGGCAAGAGAGGCAAACGATTTGCTGAAACTCCGTAAAGCTGAATGAATTTAAACACCCAAAATTATTTTAAATATACTGTAACACTATATTATACAGATATACAACGATTATTGTATATGCATTCCTAAAAATGCATTTCATTATCATTGTTACCCAAGACTCAAATAAAGATCACGCATTGAACTATCTTAATAATGGAACTGAATTCATGTAAATATAACACTGGTGCCCGTTCCCAAAGGAAGCAGACGTGATAATGAAGTTATATCACAAAATAGTTAACCAACTTAGATTACCTCAGATTTGTTCCTAAATAATTTAAATCAAGTTAATTGGTTCGTGCGTGTTTGTGAATAAGAAATGCTTCCGTTAGCTACGGCTAAAGTTTCAGGGTTGCGGTCTACGGGCGTAGGATGTGCTTATAAAATTGTACCAGAGCAATTTTCATTTTATATCAGGAGATTCTGCGAGGTCTATGAGATATTAAGTAGGCACTCTGCTAGCCGGAGGAGGTGCAGCCACAAGTTGTGGTCAGCGTTTAGATAGTTCAGTTATTGCGAGGCGCTTTCGTCAATATAAGGGTTAATGGACTTCGGTGGCTCGTTGTAACCTAAACGTGTTTTGGAATAGTTTGCGTTCCTTGACTTGGATGTGGAAGATGGTGTTTTACGATACAATTTTAGCTAATTATTATTTTGTAAATGTTCAATTGTTAATCTACATGTGTTTACGTTATAGTTTTACATAATATGTATATAGTAAGGCAAAAGGAAGACGATGTTACAAGAAAATTGTTGCATTTATTTTGTTTTATCATATTGAAAATTTTTAATTAAAACTTAATAAAAATTCAAATTTACCAGGTTTGTTCAGGATGGTTGACAACTACACAATAATATTGTCCGTAACCAAAATTGTACTCCAAAAAGAAGAGGGTAAATTGTTATGTTATTTTTATGCTATTTCTATTATAAGTCATTTTTAAAGAGGCTTTCACTGCATGATTTTTTTAATGAGAAAATTAACTACTTATATCTATAAACTTCAGACTGAAATTGAATAGCATCAAGTGACATGTTTTTTTTACTATGTGAGCAAAACTTAAATATGCATTTTTATTATCTAACACACATCTCATCAACTGTGATGAGAATTTTTTACTGGTCTGACGTGGTATCTTTAAAAGCAATCGCTCTTCTCATCAACGTCATTTTTATAGTTGAAATTGTGTTAAATATCGTTGATCAAACTTCTTCATGAGGTATATGACAAGTTTCTTAAGAATAAATCGAGCGGAATCAAAATTCATATAATTATATAATTTTTACATAAGATAACTGATATTAAAGTAAGTAAAGTATATACCTAATAGACGTATTAACCCTCATGAAACACAAAACACCAAAATATTACAAGAAATGTAGAAGTAAATATGAATGTTTGAGTAGATATACAACAAAGAATAAAGTTATAATATATGCATCATACGGCCCAGATATATATTATAAAGAAGCAAACTCATTTACAATTCTCATACTGTGAATACTCAAGCAATCAGTCTTCAGTCTTGAGGCTTGTGACAAAATTCCCGACTTGAAACTTTAAGATAGACTGTAAGATCAACTTTCATTGAGTTATCGAATTATTTATATAGGTGCTGGAGAACAAGACTGTATTGTATCATTCTTTAGAAATTTTCTTTTTTGATATCTATCAAAAATAAATTACTGCTTGGTGTCCATTGAAGTGGTAAGCAGACGACTTATCGATTGCTTTTTTTATTTTCGTTTGTATTACGCTCAACTTTTCTATTGTAAATTTCAGTTAATGATCATGACGGCGTTATTTATAAATAATATTCCTACATACAAAATTACAAAGTTGCATTCTCTGTCCATCCATATAATACACTTGAATCTTTAAATGGATGGATGGAAATGGATTATGTTACAGAGTTTTCTTTAATAGATAGAATGATTAAAGAGGAAGTTTTATGTGTATTATAACATCCATTAAATATTGGAGGTAAATCAAGTCAGCGTTGCACTTGTGCGAAGCCGCGGCGGGTTGCTAGTTTATTTATAAGCCGAGACTGGTATCATATTTCACAACATAAACTATGATTATATTCCTTAATGTGCTATGTATATATATCCTTTACAACTTTTTCAACCCACCTCGTATAAGAAGTAAACCTAAAAATATACGTAACTGGTGGCATTAATCATTTATATGACATGAAATTTGACTACCGAAGTATTATATTTTTTAAGAAACAATTTCGCCGATGTCAAAATTATAAATAGTAGTATTATTTTTTAAGCTTTCTGATATTCAATTTTGTTTTACTAGAGATACGTAATGTATTGACTACAGTTCAATACTTTAAAAATGATAGAAACACGTAAATAATATTGGAATACTTTTATGGATATTACATTTTTTTTTCCAAAATCTCTTTAGTTATTCAAGTGATATGTTGAAACTAATAAAAGTATATTTGATTCACGCGTTGAAACTAAAGCACTCCTGGAATATTAGTGCGAAAAGTTTGTGAAGTACTATTTGAAGAATATCTTAGGAATAATGTAGCGAACGTGATATGCGAGCGGTTCATAAGATATGTACATTTTCATTTTTCTCAAACGAAACGTGAGACGTAGACAAAGAACGGAGATTTTCGGAAATTATAAGGCTTACTAGGTACCTATAAAAAATACGACTGTCTGTTTCCGAGAAACTTTTCTAGATATCCCTTTTATTTATTTAGAAGCTTAAATGCAAATAAAGAAGTTTCGTTGACAAAGGTGGGAATAAATACGAAAAGGGGATAGAAAAATTGAAGATCAAACAAACGCGTTTCGTTGAATCTTTGATCATGAAGAGCACACATCCAAAAATGGTTTCAGGGAGTGTCGTTAAAATCCCTTTCAAGTGGGTTTATAGAACTAAATGTTGGCAAAAGGTATATTAGAGTGCTTTTAGATGCCTTTGTAAAGTAAATGTTTAAGTAATTTGAACATTTATACAATAAAACCCAATCAAAAATATTACCATACCGCTTCTGAAAACTCTTTGCCCTAATTATTTCATGAAAGCATCGTAGTTGTAACTAAAAGTTATACAGAATTCATTATGTTATTGTATTGATTATTTAGATTTAACGGTCAATTAGTTATCATCATTACATAGTATCAAACAAAGTCGCTTTCTCTGTATGCCTAAAAGTATGCAAGGAATTTTGATGCCGTTCTTT